ATGGTAGAAGGTCTTGATGGGAGGAAAGCTGTTTCATGGCAGCCAGAGAGCAGAGAGAGAAGGGAGGGTCTGGGATTAAGAATACACTCTTGCAGGTCACAGCCCCAGTGATCTACCTCTTCCAACCAAACCCCACCTCCTAACAGCATATTCAGCTGTGAACTGAATGGATTAGCCCACCGATAAGTATAGTGCCCCCAGGAACATTTTAGATAAATCCATAATAACTTTTTTTTCTAAATAACAGTGTAGGGAAAACTCAGAGCTTGTCCTTTGTTAAAAGAGAGATCAACAAGTGTTTGAAAATTCAATAGCTACCAGAGGTCTTTGAACAGTTTTTTGGTTCTATCATGATTGTGAAGGAATTTGAAAAGGGCCACAGCTTTTCTCACTGTATTGTCCACAGCTCTTACTGCTGGAGCCTAGAGCATCTCCCTCCCTTCATCTCACTCCCACAACCACCTTGGGAAACATTGTTTTAGACCAGAGGGAGAGGCTTGTCCCAGATGCTCCAGAAAACCAGTCTGGAACCAAGGGATGGAAATTTGGAAAAGCACTTGATAGGTCAGGATAAGTAAGCATGGGAGGAAGAGGCAGCCTTCAAAACGACTGAGAGGGTTGGAGTGGGAATAGAGAGACACTGGTTAAAGGGTATGAAAATGTTTTCATCAGAGAGAATGAATAGGGTCTGGAGAGGTACCACAGAGCATGGTGACCAGAGTCAACAACAATGCACTATATACGTGTAAATTGCTAAGAGAGGAGGAGCAGCTCAGAAATGTTCTCAGAACATGAACTCTGAGTACCTGAGGTAACAGATGTGCCAATTAGCTTGATAGAACCATTCCACAATGCACACACATCTCAAAACATCACATTGTCCACAGTAAACATGTATAGTTTTTGTCAGGTATGTCTTTACAAAAAGCTTTCAAAATAATGAGAGTCTGAAAGAGGCAAATCCATGGACACAGAAAATAAATTAGTGGTTGTTGGAGGCTGGCAGGGAATGGGAATGCCTGATAATGAGTGTGAGGTTTCTTGTGAGGGAGGATGGAAATGTTCTGGAATCAGAGAGTGGTCAAGTTTGTGTGACCTAACTTGAGACTGAATCGTACACTGAAATGGTAAATTTTACAGGGCATGAGTTATATCTCGATTACAAAGTAATGAGACCTCCTTATTACTGTAAGTATTTGTGCCAATCTGTGAGAGATGCTGAGACTCCTCCTCTGCCTTTTGGGTGAAAACTCAGCGTATTTACCAGAGACTTCTTGAAGACTACAGAGTACTTGGAGTAACTGCTTCTCACGCTGTCACTATCGTCCACTCTTTAGGTTCTCCTCTCAGGTCACCACTCTCATTCCCTGGCTCCTTAGCTGTGATCCTTTCCCAGGAGAGCACTTAAGGGCACATGCTCAGACCCTAGGTGTTGAACTCCGGCCATGCTGCTTCCTAGATCTGTGACCTCACGAAAAACATCTGACCTGCCTTTGCTGCTCCCTCCAGAAAAGGGGAATAATGAATAGGTCCTTCATAGGAGTTGCAGAGAAGCGATGGCACATCATTTGTAGAGTTGCTGGTTTCACACTGGTCTGTAGTACTCGTTACTGTTAGGGGACATCCCTCTCGGGCTTCTGTTCAAACTCTTGCATTTACTTCTTAACTCTCTTTTGTGTGCATTCACTTGTTTTCCACAGGTAGACTGCTTTATTCCAAAGGCAGCCATTGCTTCCAGTTTGTTATCTCTAGATACATTCTTATTCTTGAACTCCTGTCTCACTTTTTCAAACCTCAAGGTTTATCTATGTCCCATAAGTCCCTCAAATTTGACTCATATGAAATAGAATTGTATTTCATCTTTGCTATCAATATTTTATCATGAAGAAAGGGAGGATAGAAAGGATTAATTAACTTGTCCTAGAACACGCAGGTAGGAGATGTTTCCAGGGCTTGAATCAGGTCCATCCAGTTCAAAAGACCATTGTCCTTCTTACTGTGCCCTACTATCTCCAGCCCTTCATGATAACAGAATTCTTCATGTATGTATCCAGTCAAAAACATCAATTTTCTTTGATTTGATTCCTCCCAATTTCTATTACTACAACCGATCTTTCATCCACCTGTCAATTTCACCCTGAAGATACACCTTAAGCCTCTTCTTTCCTCTATGTTGAGGGACACTTCCTTAATCTGTTTGCTGGTTTCCATTATTTCTGAGCTCCCACAAGTTACTCTCTATCCAACCCCCACTGACTCTTTTGGCAAAGATAACTTTGAAAATCCAACCCTTATGTATCATCACCCTGCTTGAGATTCTTCAAAACATCCTTGATTGATTGGGTAAAATCCAAACTCCTCAACTTGGTACTGAAGGTTCTTCCACCATATGCAGTTCATCTTGCCGTGCTCATTCCCTATGTGTCTGCCTCTCTCTTCTCTTCTTGTCCTACTTATACTTCCTTGTTATTGTGAGGAATTAGAATGCACTTAATTCATCTAGTCATTTCTTCACATTCAAGAATTGTTTCTTAACAATCACTTATTCTATTTTTAAACTAGATCCAGTATTGCATACACACACATGCACATACAAGTTCACGTAAAACATGATGGAATCTTCATAGTATTATGCCAATATCAGTTTTCTGGTTTTGATAATATTGTGTCATTTTATGAATGGTTACCAGGCAGGAAAAGTGTATGAATGATACACAGATCCTCTCTGAACAATTTTTTGCAACTTTGTATGAATTTATAATTACTGTAAATTAAAAAATTTGACAAGATAATGTAGTATTTGAACTTTCTGCCTATAACCAGAGAAAAATAGTAGACATTCAAGGTCTACACACTTAATTTATTATAGGGTTGTATTATATGACTCAACTTGCTTGTTCCTGGGGCCTGAGCTAGGAGGCTCATGCTGGATTTGACTCAGGAAAGGAGATCAAACCCCATCCTTCCAAAGAGCAAAATTCGAGTTTTATGGAGACCTAGGTTGAATGGCAACTCTGCTATTTATGAAGTAAATGAACTTGAGCAAGTTACTTAACTCTTAACTCTAAATCTCACTTTTATCATAAAAGTAGCTTAAGTTCTAGAGGGCTTGGGATATTTATACAAGATAATATACATAAGCAGTGTAATACACTTAACAAGACAGAGTGTAGAGTGCGCTCTCTTTTGCTTAAAGCCCATGCTGGCAAATTCTATTGGCTCTGCCCTTGAAATGTGTCCAGAATACTACCACTTCTCACCACCATCTTGTGATCATCTTGGTTCAAGCTACCATTGTCTCCCTCCTGAATCACTCCAGTAGCCTCTTAGCCAGTTTCCCTAGTCTGCCTCTTACTCATGTTCCTTGACATGTAATCTGAGCACAGCAGCCAAAGTTACCTTGTCAAATGGCATTTGAATCATGTTACTTTTCTGATCAAAATGCCCCAGCCATTTCTCCTTTCCCTGGGAGTAGAAGGCAAAGGCAAAGGCTCATGGTTCTCCTTGTCCCTCTCACCTTGTGCCCCAGCATGCAATGTACCTCTGAGCACCTTCTTCACTTTCCCCTTCACTCACACAGCCCTTGCCGCCTCCTGCCCCAGAGCATTCACACTGTACTTCCTTTACCTGGGCTGTTCTTTCACAGGTCTCCACTCAGCTGCCTTTCTCTTGCTTTTAAGTCCTGCTCAACAAGGTCATCCTATCCACCTTGTGTCAACTTGCAATCCCCATCACTTTCCCCTTGGTGTTCTCCATGCTGCTAAAGCTTTATAACATGTTATGTACTTTATTTACAATCCAATTCCCCCAAAACAGAGCACAAGTTCTGGATAACAAATCATTGTGTCTGTTCTGTGCACCACTATGTCCAGTATGTAGATAGTTTGTAGAGGGCACACTGAATTTAACTTTGCAATGGCCTCCACAAATTAAGTCAGTTCTATTTGAGAAGTTGGAAATAGTCAAAGGAATTTCTACATTGCATAAAAAAGAGTATCAAGGCCACGTAGATGTCTTGGAAACTTATTTTCCCAGAGGTTTAGGAGAAGAACAGGGAAGGGGGAGTACTCCTGCAGCTCATCTCTGCCTAGTACCCTTGCTCATCCCACTGTAAGACGCTCTCAGGTTGCCTGCCCCTGAACCTTTTCAGCCTCTTCTAGGTTGAGCTAGTTCTTCCTCCCCTGGCCTCCCCGATGGCATTTTCTCTGCACATTGTTCATAAATTTGTTATAGTGCTTAAAGTGTTATACCAGAATTGTTTACAAACATGTGTATCTCCTTGTCTTAAGTCAGGAGTTTATCAAGATTAAGGTCATGTCTTATTCAGCTTTGAAGAATATGGCTTAGTACAGTGGCTGCCACATGGAAAGTAATCACAGAGTTTGATGAGTGAATAAATAAAGCAGAGATTATGCTGAGATCCCATAACCATCTTTATAGACATATATGTGTATGTATATAATATGTGTGTAGATATTACGATGTGTATGTTTAAGATAAACACATGTAAACCTATTTAAATATTTTTCGTTATATGTTTTTATAAATGTATACATATATATATGTATATGTATATATCTTGTTTTTAAAATGAAGAAATTGAAACTTAGCAGAGTGTGCCAGTATTCCCAAACTGGGACTTGAACCTGACTTCAGTACACTTTCTGCAATACAGATCTTCTAAGTCTGGCTCTAGTATCTTTTCTCCACCCATATTCCATTTGAAAAAGATTCACTGCAGATGTGCAAATGTTCTCTGAGTATCATCATCTTACTAATGTACACATTTAAGCTAGACTGTTTTGTATGACATGGGCACCGATGCATTTCCATCACACAAATAATGTGGAGGAAGCACCTGCAAAGTTTGAAAATGTGAGGCCCATCCTTTCTATCAAAATGACAGTCATCTCAAGAGTGGACATTTGTCCAGGAACACATGGTTGCCACTCCTTTACTCAGAAGTGATGTTTCACTATGGAAAGGAGATTCAAACTCACCATTTTCACTGCGGTGAGATGCATCCAGCCTCCTGACACCTTCCAGCCAGACGCCCTCCCTTGGGCAAGTGTCAACATCACCGTAGGTGCTTCCATGCAACCAGTACTCAGAGGCACTGATGTTGAAGAGAGAAGACAGAGAATAGCAGAATCTCCTTTTCTTTCTAAATATTCTGGGAAGAAATGAAAGTAACATGGTGTTTTAGTTACTTTTTTCTCATCGCTGAGATAAAATATCTGACACCCTAAGTTAAAGGAGGAAAGGGTTTATTTACCTCACAGTTTGTAGAGGTTTCAATCCATAATTGTCCAGCTCCAAGGAAGAGTGGCACATGGCAGAGGGGCAACAGTTCATGGTGGCAGAACATAGCAAAGGCAACAAGGGATGACCACAGCTCCTTCTATCTCTTTTATCCTATCCAGGTGACCTAGGATGGGTAGCACTCACACCTTTAATCCTACTGCCCTTGAGTCTACCATTGTACCATGAATCAATCACACACTTTAGATTCAGCCACCTTAGAAAAACCCCCGCCTATGACTGCATTAGGCTTGGGGGAGGGGGCATCTAGACACAAGCCATAACGTTGCACTCCCGGACCTCCAAAGACTAATGCACATCCCATTATTCAAAAGGCACTTAGTCCATCTCCAAGAGTTGCCCAAGTCCTAATAGTTTCAACATTGCTGAAAAGTCCAAGTCCAAAGTCTCCCCTGAGATTCAAGACAAATTCTTAGCTGCAAGCCTCTGTACAAACAAAAGAAAGTTAAAAACTTCCAACATTCAATGGCACAAGATAAACATTTCTAATCCAAAAGTTACAAATAGGGGGATACAAAGGAATGGGACCGAAGCAAGTTCAAAATCCAGCAGGGCAAACATGAAATCCCACAGTTCCACTTCCAGCATCCCAGGCAATCTGTGGCAAATTGTAATCTCCAAAGGGCTTGGGTGCCCCCACCCCTATGGCACTGCTGGTGGTTGTAGTTCCCCTGGCTTCTTTCCTTTACTGACTTTGCTCCCTCCTTGCAGCTCTCCTTGGATAATTCATGTTCCTGGATTGTCTAACCTTCTGGGATCTCCACTGCATCTTTGGCTTCACACACATATGTTCACACACTGCCCTCTTGGGTGCACACTGCCTGGCCTCCCAGGCCTTCCTCTGAAATCTGGATGGAAGCCTTCCAGACTCCACAACTCTTGTACTCGGCATGCACCTGAAACCAGCACCATGTGAATGATGCCAAGGTCTGCTGGCACCTGGAGAAGTAGTCAGGCTTCCTTCTCACTTGGCTGTAGGGGTCCAGTGCCTATGAACCAAATCCCTAGAGACAACTTCCCTAGGCTTCCACCATTGTGGAAGGTGGTGCTCTGGGGCTCTCTTCTCAAAGCAAAGTCTTTCAGTTTGCAATTTTGAAGCTGCAAAGGGTGGAGTCCTGCTGCTTCTGCTGATGCCCTCAGGCCATCTTTTCTATGCTCCTGTTCCTTCTCAGCAATCAAGATCTCTGCTCTATCTTTGCAGTCCACACCTTTACTGGAGCTTCCTTTCTGGCAAACTCGTGGCATTTTAAAACATTCTGCTGTGCTCTTTACTCTTGATTCTCAACAAAGATCTGGCTAAAAGTCCCCAAAAGTAGCCATGTCACCTCCTCAACATTAGACTGCCTCACCTTCTGTGAGGTTAATTAGTCTGCCACCCTTAACCTCAGTCTCAGGCAAAGTCTCTGACACAAGCAAAATGCAGACAAACTTTCTGCCAAGCCATAACACTCATCGCCTGAAGTCCAACAGCCAACACAGTCCTTCTTCCCAGCAGAAATCTTCTGAGCCTGGTCTTTACCAATTTCTGGTCTTCTGAGCTCTGACCAGAATCTCCCACACAGCACAGCCTAAGGTGTTCCAGCTCTGCTCATTCGGCTGCCATCTCTGAACCTTTCCAAACTCTTCCCACAAGCCAGTCCCAAAGGCTCCTGAACCACACAGTCCAGTACAGTCACAGCAACAACCCCACTTCTCTGGTACCAAATTTGTCTTAGTTATTTTTCTGTTGTTGCTGAGACAAAATACTTGACAGAGCTAAAGGGAGAAGGTTTATTTAGCTCACAGTTTGTGGAGGTTTCAGTCCATAATTGGCTGGCTCCAAGCCAGGGTGGCCTGGCAGAGGAGAAACAGCTCACAGCAGGCAGAAGACAGCAAAAGCAAGGAAGCAAGGGACCTTAGCAACTTTTTAATGCCCCTTTTATACTGTATCTAGGCTACTAGGATTAAGGTGGTGCCAAACCAATCAGTGAACTGATTTAGTAATCACACACCCTTAATTCTAGCATCAGACACTCGGATTCAGCCACCTCTAAAAAAGCCCCCTCTAAGAGTGCATGAGGTTTTAGGTGGATATCTAGACACAAATCATAACACATGGTGAACAATGAAGACCAGTCATCTCAGGCTTGAAATATAGTCTAGTGAAGATAACTTGATACACAGAGTACATCTCTAAAACCCAAGACTGGTGACTCTATTAATGCCACAGAAGTTTCTTCAATTTCTACTGTGTCCTGGATCCTTAAATCAATATCAAAGATACTTTAATAAAGACACAATCATGTGTACACAATTATAATGTACTCTGGGAGAAAGACAAGAATAATGCAGATACACAAATGCTTTCATGGAGCTTATTCTGTGCCAGGTACCTTTACTTCTTAGTGCTTTCCACAGATCAACTGACAGTATACCAGGACTACTCTGTGAGGTAGGTACTATTTTTAACCCATTTTTGAGATCAAGAAAATAAGTCTAGAGAGGTTAAGTTATTTGACTGAAAGGTGTGCGATATAGCTGAATTGCAAAGTCAGTCTGGCTCCATAATCTTCTCACCATGTTATACAGGGGACATATGCTCTGGGAGAAATATCTAGAGGCTTCCCTGAAAGTTTTGGGATATCTATCACTAACTGAGAATCAAAGGAGGCTTTCTGCGATAAATGAGTTTTAAGCTGCAGGAGATGATCTCATGTGTTCATTGAAGAATAAGGTTTCATTATGGGTCTTGCTAGGACATAAGCTGGAAAGGTCAAAACTCCAGATAATGGAGATTCTTGTCTATTTTGTAGAGGATGTAGGAATTAATGTGAGTGCAATGGAGACCCTCTATGGAAGGCTGTCAAAAGGGAAGGGACTGGTGGAGAAGGGAATGTGATTTGGATCTCATTTCTAGAAGATTCTTGGCCACAGAAAAGGACTTGGAGAAGCAAGATAAAGGATAGAGGGTCTATTCAAACTCCACAGCCAAGTACCTTTTGTGGCACACCTGTCTGGGATGTGCTAATCCCTGTAATGAATGCTAATGGCCTAAAACAGAGCCACATATTGTAAAAAGATATGGGACACTTTTCCCATTACAACATTCTGCTTTTTGTCTCTGGTGCATCTACAGCTGCTATCAGAAAATTCATTTTGCATGTGGTTTCCCTTAATCTTTAGATGAATTACAGCAAGGTTTGTGAATTCTTTATCCTGGTGGTTTTCTATCAGGGTGCTTTTGGCCCTAAGGAACATTTAGCAGTTTCTGGAGACTTTGTATTTAATGTCATGTCAGGGGAGGGGTCCTATTGGCCAACAGTAGGTGAGGCCAGAGATACTATTAAAATTCTCTAAAGCACAGAGAAAAGGCCACAACAAAAAATCATCTGCTACAAACACGAATAGGGTTGTGGTCAAGAAAGTTTAATTTAACTTTCTCTGTCATCAATTTCAGGTAATAGGAAAGTTGAGAAAAATGAAAAGAATTCTTGACAATGGAACAATATCTTGTGAAAATTAACCAAATTTTACAGATTCCTGTAGGTTCTATGATGAGATCATCTTAAATTGAATGAGCAGTAATTAAAAATTTTCTATTTATTTATTTTTGTATTCATCAACACCATTGATACATCTCTATGAAGCACCTATTATGGGATGGACACTGATCAAATTTATCTGTGCAAAATGTACAGATAAAACATAATCTCTAATGTCAAGAATAGCTTTGCAAAGTGAGATAGGGTTAAAAGTGGTGCTTAGAAACTTGTTCTCTAATGTCAGACAACTGGAGTTGGGATCCTGGTACCACTTAATAGCTCTGTGAGCTCGAGGAAGTTACTTAACCTCTCTAGACTTATGCTTAGCCTGTATCAAAGGGAAATGACAATAATATAATTTATGTCTTAAGGATTCAAAGCTGGAATTGGAAGTCAAATAAGAGTATGTTATGGCTTATATCTAGTTGTCCTCCCCCAAAAAAGCTTCATGTGCTCATAGTTGAGGCTTTTGGGGGTGGTTGGGCCATCGATGTGTGATACTGGATTATGGCCCTGTGATAACCAGATAGGTTCACTGAGTGAATTAGTGTAGTCTTGGGTGTGGATTTGTTGAAGACAGAAGCCCCTCCCCTTAGTGTGGTGCCATAAATCAATAGGCTTGTAGCCTGAATGGAATGAAAAAAGGAAAGAAAAAAGGAAGGCTCACTGCTTTCTGTCTACCCTGCCATGGACTTTTTCTCCTTTGGCATGCCCCATGTCTTGGAGCTAGACAACTACTGACTGAAATCTCTACAAACTGTGGGCTGAACTAAACCTTTCCACCTTTAACTTATGGGTGTTCAGTATTTTGTCCAAGCAACAAGAAAGTAACTAAGACAGAATATATGCAAAAAACAGGATTTTACCCAGCATATAGAAAGTAATCAAATGACATTCATTTCATTTATTTAACAAGTATTTGTAGTCATGGTTTCAAGGTGAAAAAGAAATGGAGTAAAACTCCTCTTAAAGGAGGTATCTAGGCAATTCAAGAAAACCACTTTGCTGTAGCCTGGAGAAAGTATTAGGAGGTGGGTAATCTGGGAGGCATTCAGAGCACTAAGATAACCTGCAAAACTCTGAACCAGAAATGATGGTGGTCTGCATAAAGACAATAGAATGAGGATAAAGGGAACCTCAACTTAAAATAAGTTTAGGCCATTGACTCATCTGATCTTAACAATTGTGACAGAAACAGTACACTTCTGTCTAAAACAGTCTACTCTTCCTCCTAGGCACACAGCTGGACTCAGTCTGCTTGCTCAGTGGCCATCAGCGGCAGCCAAGAGAGTGAGATCTTCTGGGGAAATGTGAGCAGAAGTGATGTGTGCCACTTCTGAGCTGAAACCTTGAAGTAAGAAGGGAAGAGATATGATTTCACCCTGAAGCCAAGTTCAACCTAGTCCAGAGTAGATCAACCTAACCAACCAACTTTCAAACGTGTATTCACCATTACTGTATATGTCACTAAGATTTCGTCATTGATTTTTAAAAGTGTTACTGGGTCAGTAGTTTTCTGATATAGTCAGCATGTGGTTGGTTTTAAAACTAAAGAAAATGAATGTGATTACCCAAATTAACTGATCCAAAGTTAATTCACTCATCTTATTTTCTCAAAACATACCCTCTATCTCTAGTTTTGGTAAATGGTCCTACCACACACCCAGTTGACAAAACTAGAGTCCTATATCTCATGCATGTGCCCTTCGTTTGTTAGAAATCCCATATCTGCAGTGACTAGATCCTACCACTGTACCATACCATGTCTCTATCTCCTTATACCACTCACTAATCCTTGCTACTACTTTCTTTCAATCCACGAATACCCTGCCTTCATTTTTTCCTATTCTACCCATCATACTCACATATTCACTCTCCCAGCAAGGTATTCTCTACACCGTAATTGCTGTTATCTTTCTAAGTCTAATGATTTATTAATGGCTTCTCTTTGCCTTTAGAGTAAAGCCCAAACTCTAGCCTGATGTTTCATGTCTTCTATTCGGCTCACATCTGTGTTGACCCTACTTTCTTGGAGGCTTCCCATTCCCTTCCTATCCTAAACTGTGCCCCTACCAAGCTATTTGCAGCCCCCATTGTGCCAGCATCTTTCAGAATCCCATGCCTGTGCTGTCTCTCTAGAAGTTTTATTGCTTCCTCTATTTTAACTAGCATCGTACATCTTCTAAGATACAAATCAGTCATAACCATCTCTAGAAAGCTTGCCGTTACCTGTTCCTCAAGTAAAACAGGCCTCCTCCCTCTTGCCTCTTCACTGAATCCCATACAGATTTCTACCCCAGCACCTACATTACTTCATTTTACTTTTCATTTACTCTCCTTGCCCCTTTTTCCTCTTTTGATTTCCATAATCCAGAGCAATAAGAAGATCCTTATTGATGACTGTTGAGTGAATGAATGAATAAATGAATGAATGGTGAATGGAATGGATTCAAGATGCCTTGAAATAATCACCTCTACTTACCCGACCAGCTTCTCCTTATACATAACACGAGTCTGTGAGGGGTTCAGAGTTATGTTACCATCTTTGTCACAGAGGAAACTGTCCTCTGTCCATATATAGTAGCCATTGGTGAGGAGCCTGGGACTTTGGCGACAGGTGTTGTGGGAACCTGTCAAGGGATCCATAGAGCAGCATTCAAAGGAATTGTCACCATCCAGGAAGTCCCAGGCAAATCTACACAGGAAAAAGGACAGTCTTTTTAGTCTCTATTCAGTGCATGCAGTCACCCAACACCACAGGTCCAGTCACTGTGAGGGACTTCGCATTCTGATTATCAAATACTTCTGTAATCCTCAAGAGTGTCACTCTTCACCTGCTGGACTTTGACATTGACCCACATGACCTTTAGTGCCTCTTTCTATTTTAAATATGGTGAAAACACTGTGGTTTACCAGTATCATCATCAAAGAATAAACCTTACCCTCTGAACATGGGTCCATTTTTTTGGTTGGAAAACAAACTTTCTGGGATGTTGGAAGCTCATAGTTCTCTTCACCCCTCCCACCTTTCTTTGGACATCACATGCTATATCCTTGCTCTTGTCTCTATAATAGAGAAATCATAACTTTCCTTTTCCTTTTCCTTCCATCTTCCACTGAGAGCCACTCAGCCACTTGAAAGAGTAGCTGTCCTTCATGGGTCCTATTTCTTCCATAATAAGTCTTCTGGCTCATTTAACTCAACTTTATATGGCATAAGTGATTTTGATCACTTCACCATCATGTTGTGACTGCTCTTCTTTAGGTATTTTCCAGTTTTTAAAGTACCTTTTAATGCCAGGTATGGAACCCAGTCATTTAGGTGTAGCTGTCCAGAGGAGACTAGGACTGTCACCTTCCTCATTACATAACCCATGTGTGTAACGACTAAGCCTAAGCCATAGTAGCCTAATTCTCATCTTTCCTTTTCCCTAGTCACCACCATATTATCATGCTACTGAATTGATTGTCAGTTTCTGCTTTTTTCCTCATCTGCTTACTCATATCTCCTTTCTCCCAAACCTTTGAACAATTTTATCATGGAAAGCTGGTATACATTAAAAACTAAGAATGAAGGCCTTTTGATCTAAGTAGAGATAGGTTTATGCCTGGAGTTTGATTCTTGATTTTGTTATTTGTTAATCATTTATTCTTCCTATCCATTAGTTTCCTATAAATGGGAATCTGTACAATGAGTGTTACCCAAATCCAATCTTATAGGGTTGTTGTAAAGATAAAATGTCATAATTTCATGCAATGCTATTAACATCTGTGCCTCTGATAGTCTAAGTGACATGTTAAATGTGTGGGCTATCATTTGTATAAGCCCATAATTTTGTGCCCTTGGAATTTGGGGGGGATTTTGATTATACCATATGACACTTAATGTCTTTCATAACATAATTCAAAAATAGTGTCACTGGTATTTATAAGTCCTTAACTCAAATCATTGATGAAAATAATGGACAGCATAGGTAGAGACCTGAGACTCAGGAAACACCAGGAGAGACTATTTTCTAGGTATCCACTGACTCACCTTATCAGCACATTTTTATTATTGCTTCTCCATAAACAAATAAGAAAAAGAGACTAGTAGGGTGAGTTAATCAGTCAAGATCTAAGGCTTGCGTAGGTAAGAATTTACATCCTTTGCCTTTCACCCTGTGCTTTTTCCTGTATAGTTTTGCCTCTCAGTAATTAAAGAGAGCACTATCGGGTGCTGGACATACAGACGACAGTTTTAGACCTAATTTCTGAGGTTTCAACTTTTAGCAATTATCAACTGAAGTCTTCCCAACCCCTTGCACATCTTTCCTTCTTAATGCCCTTAAAATTCTTTTTTATGTCTTGATTGTAAACAAAATGCAGATCTCCCAACATCCACTTTGTAATAACAAAGAGATTTTTCCCAAATAATATCAGACACATCTTAAGTGAATAACCAAATTAGATCTTGACTCATTTCTATTCTGTTATAATAATTCTAGCAGCTGCTTATTTTCAGCAGGTTCCTTTCAATTGGTTTCAGAAATCCAACCTCACACCCAAGTCCAGGAACTTGCTGAAGTGCCCAAAGACCAAGTCTTTGTTTGCACAGAGAGGCAACCAACCAGGCCTTGAAAGGGTGTTGAGCTCACACTTCTGAAGATAGAAAAAAGACCAGTTGTTGTGGGAAGAGACAAGCACCATTAGGCTTTTAAAATTTGTTGATTCAATTCTTTATACATCAATAGATTGTAGTGTGTCTCTTCTTCTCTACACCACTCTCATGCTTTTTTGAATGTCTGATTGATTCAATTTAAAAGTGCATAAACAATAAAACACTTGAGTTATTAGTGAAATATGACCTTAAAGGTATTATTTACTGTACACTAAGCATGAGTCTGGCCCCACATTTTGCACTTTGTCTACTCTTTACAAATCTTTCTAAAAGCTAAGTATTAGTATTATGCTCATTGCATGGCAGGGAAAAAAAGGGAGATGCAGAAGGAAAAATTACTTGTATATTTTACATAGCTAGAATGTGACAGAGCTGAGATGCAAACTATAGTTGGTCTGAATCTGAAACATGAATTCATTCCATACGTTCTTGTTTGTCTTTAGCTGACTCGTTGGGTGGTACTAGGAGGCCTAGAATTTATAGGTAGGGGCAGGTTATAATATCAAAGCTTCAACCCTTTTTTTACTAGTACAGTATAGGCACATTCCACAAAATGCTAGGGAAATATAAGGAATGAAAAAGAAAGGAAGGAGGGGGAAAAAAGGAGACTCCATCGCAAGACTTGAACAAAATGGTAAAATCTACTTGTTTGAGTACAGGATAAAAATTGGCCAGCTTCTGCATTGGGATAAAACCCTGTGGCTCTTGTATCATGAGATAGGAAAGCATATTTAAGAGAACACAGATTTGAGAAAAAAAGTAACCATCCAATCAGTATTCAATATAGTTTCTGTATTTGTCAAAGAAACAATTTATGCTTGCCTACTATTCATAGTAGAAAAGAAAAAAATCTGCAAGATTGAGCAAGTTTTTATTTTGTTTATGCATGGCACTGGAAATGTATAACCACATCAAGACTGGATGATAGCTAAAATATTTTTAAAACTGGACAAAGTATGACATGCTGCAAGGGAATTTGTTTCATTTGATTGAGTAAAGCTCTGTAATTGCCGGGGATGTAGCTCAGTGGCACCCCACCTGCCTGGTGAGCGCAAGGTCCCAAGTTTGATTCCCAGTACCGAAAAGCTTCGTGACATACCTTGGAAAAATACATGTGGTAGAGAATTTGCCAGCACATTCTCTGTCCAACCTGGAGGAACCTGCATAAAGAGAAGTTGATTACACCTCACTAGCATGCATAAGCATGACAGTAGTGGTACATGGGAGGCATGAATAGTAGTTAGTGGCCCAGTCACAGCAGAAAGACTCCAACTAGGTCAGTCATCCAGCAAACCAGCCTAACATAGGTCACTGGTGGAATAACCTAGAGGCTTCCATCTTCTCTCCCTTCTCACACACAACAGTCTTTTAGAGGTTCCTTAGTGAAAAATGAGGTAATAATTCATCATTAGCATGAAGATGAGCTTATTAAAGGAGGGGAGACAGCATGTTGTATGAAGCTGGAGGAAACCAGACCAACTACCCAATGGTTATTGTAGCTTACTCAGAATCTGAGGAATTAAAGCAACACCTCAGACTATCCCACATCAGGGCATTTCAAGACACTTCTACTGTAGTGAGTAGGAGACACTAGTTGGGAGAATAATAAAGTTTTGTTTTACATGTGATTTTCCAATGTATGAAGCCTGTGTGTATTCTTCATTTAAAAAAGCAAATTACCCATCCATTCATTCCAGTTTAAACACAGGCCCAGCAACCGACTTTGCTTGGGGAGACTTGCAGCTGGTTAATAGTCTAAACTATAACATAGAGTTTTATCATGGGCAGTGATAGTGTCAAGCCTTGCAACAGGAAGGCTCAGTAGGAGTTGATTACATTACTGAAAATCACTACTAAATAAAAAGAAAGAACTGAGACTTTCAGATTGGGCTGGTTGATTTGTAGGGAGAAAATTGTGGGTGTGTGAGGGAGGATTAGAAGTGGGGCTTGGGGAGAAAATAACAAGAGGAAAGAAGAAACTTGAAATCACTACCGTTTTAACAATGCCCTTATTTTCTGCAAGTAGCTATCAAAATCATTCAGCATTTTTTATAGACAAACAGCTTTGCATCTTAATAGTAGCTGATAAACTATCTGCTTTCACATTTATGCACAGGCTTCTAAAACATGGTGACTTTTTCTGCTAAAAGGAAAAATGCCACATTTCTCTCAAGGAAAGAAATGAAGTCAGAATCATCGCTGAGGCACACACTGGCATTTAAGAACACAAGCTACTGACAGATGGTTAATGGTCTGAGTATCAGCAAAATCAAAGCAAGGAAATTGCTAAAAGGCATCTAATCGTTCAAAAGATAATTGCATGTAACACTTGTCTTACATTTACTTGCTACTGGTGTCGACATCAGCTGAGATATTCGGTACATCTTGGGAAGGCCACTTGTTCAAACTTCACAGATTTTCTCCAAAACCATTAAAAAAAAAGATGGACTACATATTAAAAATAGAAAAATTATGCCAAAACAGATGGCATCTACTAATTGCACTAGTCAGATTTGTTTACTGAAATAGTACAGAGATACAAGATTGAAGGCAGAAGACCAGATTTCAGGGCCTCAGGAAGGTTGTGTCTGCCTCAACAGTTTTGTATTCTATTTTCCACCATCTCACTTGGCACATCTAAATAATCTCTTTTTGTGTAAATAAGGACAAAATTTTATTTGGGGATGCTAGATTTACAAGGGTTGATTTGACATCCCAATAAAAGAATGAAAATGAATTCTTTGATTATGAAATCTGAAAAATGACTTGCTGTAGAGCCCCCAAGACAAACTCTTTGGATTTAAATCATCCATTGCAAAGTAACCTCATTGTCAAGTTTCCAACAGTAAGTGAGCCTTGCTGTCTCTTTCACCTAACAACTTGAACTACTGACAGGTATTCGCAGAGAGGGGCAGTACTCCATGTAGTATGTGTCAGTCTGTTTTCAGCCTGGACATTCCTAAATAGCACAAGCAGCGTCACACTAAAAATGGTATAACACTGGGCTGATTTTGAAACTCAGTTCTCACGAACGTATAATTTACTCTCGCTTATAAATTAAGCGCATATGAAAGTGTGTCAATTATAGACACTTTGATCATTTAGCGCTTATCAAATAGACTTAACTTTGTTGACATTGAATTTAGTGTATATCAGCATCCTAACAGTTGTGTAAGACAGGAGTACTTTCTCTTCTGACTCACTGTCTCTATCCCCTTTTTTTAAAAAAACATAGCAACTAGTAATGGATTGTTTGTGTAGCTATAATACAGTAACTCAATCAGGGTGTCAAGATTCAAATTGATTATCTAAATAAATGACATACAAACCTTGTTAGGAAATATAGAACTCACCATATATAACCCTTTAAATATTTCAGGAGACCCAGCTTTCTTTGAAAGATCTCTAAATCAAAATATACATTTATAACTTTCATTTGTTTGAAATATAAAATGATATTGTCTAGAAACTAATATACTAGTAAGCTTGTCATTTTCATTTTCCATGCATATAATATGAATATGCCCAGCCCAAATTATCCTAGGTTAGTTTTTCTCAAGCATTAAACTTATTTTAAGCTAACAAATTACATAGCAGTAAGTATAGTCTTATTGTTATATCTCACAAACATCTTTAGTCATCTGCAAGCAGTCATCTGTTAAGTGAGAATCTGTAGCAGTGAAAACAACTTTAGTTAGAGCCCTACAACTTTGCAAGAAATAGACTCTGTCTACCTGTTCCATCAAAGCAAAACATGTGTTATGAAAAATAATTTGCCCGTACGTGTAATCCTTCCAGAGAGAGTTGCCAGTCTCTTCTTCCAATTGATAAATGGCAAAGCACTTGCTGGAATACAAGGCTTCCTGTTTTTGGCAGTGGTGAAATTGAGGACTGAGCTGTTGAAAGGGCATTCAGATTGTCAACAGGTGCAGAAGTCTCTTGATAAATGGATCCCCCCTTCTTCTAACAAACACTGCATGCATCCCTGCCTTGAGCAGGAGTTTGCTGCAGAGTTTAATCTTCCACAGCCTCTTGCTCTTTTGGTTGTTTCCTAGAATCGAAGAGCATATAGTTCTTGGGAAGTCAGCCTTCAACGCTTCTTGTTTTCTTTCAAAAACAAGCTGTGTAATCAGAGGCAGAGCAGCAGCTTGAGGTCACACTTCCTGTTGGGCTCACATCAGTGGTATTCACACAGCGCAGTCCATGAGAGAGCTCAGACAGCCTCCCGGGCCAGCAATAGGAGATCTGTAGTCCATCACTCGGGCCAGCTGGATAAATGATGGTCCCTGGAGAAATATTGTTCTGAACTACGTCATCGTCCCTACCTGCAAGAACACAAGAAAAACTCCATAAAGCAATGCTTCTTAGTCATCATCTGGCCATAGTTAGAATAGTGCATAGCCATGTCCTTTGTCTATACCACCTAAATGTTTGGAGAATGATGCATTGATTCTTTTACATTCAGAATACTATTAAATAACAGGAACACGATTTTATGGGAATTTCTACAGTAGTAATGAGCTGATCCAATGAAAGTTGGATTTTTCAAAAAACTCCCTGGGTGACATTTTACATTTTATATTAATAATTTAGTGGAACTCAAAGAACTCAATGCTGTTTGTGCTATTTCAATGATAAAATATGTATGTTCTAGGAACCATGAGGCAGCAGTAGGTAGTGAATGAGTGCAGGTTTTGCAGTCACACAAACTATTTCCAAGATGCAAACTATTTCCCGATAGGCTTTGTGTGGCCTCGGGCTTGTGGCCCAATCTCTTTGAGTTACAGTTTTCTTTAACTATACATGTTATATATTTTCTGGTCCTGGCCAAGAGAAAAGATACTAAGACAAATTGCAAGTCAGTCGCAAGTGACTTCGCATGATCTTCCATGTTAAAACTTAGGCTGCATCCAAAATATTCATTTGCATGTTAACTACACTAGTAAATCCCTGAAAATCTGGAATTAAGCTTATCTTTTATTTTGTTCCTTGAATGTGGCACTGTACTTGGCATTTTGCAGATGTTCAATAAGTGCTTGTGGGAAAAAAATGGAAGAAGAATCATATTTTTGTCAACACTTGAATCAAAACTAGAAATCATTAATAACTACAGAATCTGAATAGAAATTTTATTTGAAGCTTACTCAATTCTCCACTCCTACTCTTAGTTAGAATACCTTTCTTTATGCAGTCGTCCTTGATTTCTCAAGTTAGAACAAGCATATTCCTATGGCATCTACATTTTAACTGATTTATATTTAGCTTCATACTGTGCTTGGTTATTTCCGTATTTAATCTCCCTATCATGGCAAGTCAGCTTAGTATAAGTAACTAGTTATAAATTCTTCTTCCTTTTTCCACACGATATCACCTTGTTTCTAGCATTAGGTAGGAATTAAATAAAAACTTGTAGACTGCTATGGACTAAATGTATCCCCCTCTAAACGCATATTGAAACCCTAGTCCTCAATAGGATGGTATGTGGAGGTGGGGCTTTTGGCAGTTAATTAGGTCATGAAGATGGAGCCATTGTTAATGAGGTTTGTGCTTTTCGAAGATGCAGAAGAGATGATCCCTCTCCAACATATGAGGACACACTGAGATAGTGGCCGACTGCAAACTAGGAAGAGCGTTCCAGGAACCAAATCTGTGAGTACCTTGATCTTGGACTTCCCAACCTCTGGAATTGTTAGAAATAAATTGCTGCTGTAAAAGTCAACTAGTTTATGGGATTTTTGTTATAGTACAGACTAAGACATTAAGTGCTTAAACAAAATATGATGAATGAATACACGTGTTTATGGTGTCTCTATTTGAAGATGTTGTGCAGTGTTGCTACCTCTGTTCTCAAAGAAGACGATGATCATTAAGATATTAAAATGGTGGTTGCTGTTTATTTGCTTGGGTCCCATATTCTGTTACTAACCCTGTCCTCCACCAGCATTAACAATCCCTAGCTAATAGAAACTGTCTCTAAAAGCCAACACGGAATGAATCAGGAATGTGAATGATTGGCCAGTGTTTCCCTAGATTCACCTCTCATTTGGCCTATATTTCTAATTTTTCAAATCAGGAAGCATATTCTCAGTTTTGTTAGAGCTGTACATTGTGACTGGAGATTGGAGTTACAGTCAGTATAAAATAGTTGCACTGAAAAGTCGTTATTTTTGTTATTCAATTTTTATTTCCTTTCTTTAAAGTAGCAGAGAGACATAGGAGAACCACCTGACTAACTTTTCCCATACCTGCTGGGGGTGGGGTGTGGCTTGACTAGCAGCTGTCCAGTCCTCTGCCTTGCTTCCCTTTGATCGCCTTTGCACCCCAACAGACTGGGACAGTTTCTTTCAGTGTCCCCCCCAGGCTATCAAATCACTATTCTCTACTCCAACATGAGTGCAGCCAGACAGGCAGGTGGTGCCCCCCAACTCCTGCTACTTCAGACGATACTCTTGCCTTTTTGAGGAAGTGAAGGGTCACTCTGGAGTGTCTAGAATCAGGGAGGGAGGGATCTAGGCCTTTTCAGTCCTGATCTTCACTGAAACAGACCTGCAGCCACTACCTAAGCAGCACTCCCTGGTCACTTCTTGAGTTTGAGTCTAGAAAGGCTCCCTCCTGGGTACTGACCCCTCTGTACTGTAGCACAAGCCCTGTTAAATTAAGAACTCACTTTGGTGAAACGAATCTGGTTGCTGTTTGTTTCTCTCGTAGTGTGGGTTCCAAAGGTCCTGTAAATCTATTTGGGATTTTTATCCTGAATACTATGGACAGAGTGGTTGTTTCCAAAGAAAGAACAACACGTTCCCAGAGTTGTTAATGCCAAAGAGCTCCAGAGACCATTAACCAATGAAGACAAAGACAGAGACCAGCACCTGGTAGAGTCAACCTATGGCGTCCAGCACGAGCTGGCACTGGAAGGCAGTGGTTGGCAGCAGCAGTGACCAGCAGCTAGCTATGTCAACTGCTGGCATCCAGCATTACATACTGACATCAGGACTGCTAGCAGAATTGCACTTTGTTAATTCAGGATTTCTGTCTAAATTGAGCAGTGCTAGCTGATTGGTAAAAGCAAGAAACGAAATTTTCTTTAAAAATCTCATTCATTTCCACCTCTTAGTCCCTAAAGATTGGGGTAGTCTCTACTCTCATCTGACTGATGGGAAATGGACCCAGCTCTATGCCAAATTAGTACAAGCCATTCCATGGCTACCTCTATTGGTTCAAGGTTGGTCACTGAACTTAATTTAGGTCAGGGAGAGAATGACTTCTAAGTCTTGTTTTTATGTTCACTAGGATGTTATACTGACAAGTAGGAAGCTGGGACCAGGATACGGATTCCAAAAATCATGCTAACTCCTAGGAAGCAGAGTGAAAGCTATTTTAATTTGATCCTTGAAGCAAACTGAGCTAGAAGGAAGAATAATCTCTTATCTCTTGTTATTTCCCCAAACTAATAAATTATTTTTATTTTTATAGAGATTTTCATTGAACCTTCATTCATAAGCAACTACACGAATCACAACACCATGTAAGCCTGCAACTTTTGGGTGCATGTGAATTATTAGGGTGACTTATTAAAGTATAGTTCCCAACCCCAGAATAAAAAGTAGGACCCAGGAGTTTGCATTTTAACCAGCATCCCAGGTGAATCTAATTTGGGTGATTGGTGGAACAAAGCTTGAGAAATGCTGTTATGGTGAGTAAAAATGATACTAGTGAACAGCAGAATTCAGAGGCTGTGTCAGGTGTCAATGAAGCAGGGGAAAGTGAAGAGCTCATCCTTTGTCCTGAGGAAAACTCACTGAAGAATCAGAAGTGGATTCCACGTTCAATGATTATCTGTTTAAGGAATCTCTACCTTATTTCTCATTATTATTTATTCCTGCTTTATGTGGCATTATCACATGTCTCTGTCTGTCTGGGACTACCCAGCAACCCACCTGCTGTTCTGAAGTAATTATTAGTAATGCTTCTTTCCACTCTCAAATATTTAGGTTTGAATGATAAATATAAGGTAGATCCCTTGCTTTGGGGAAATCTGCACAAAGGAGTTCTTTGTCTCTCTTGATATAATTCCTGAACAAATACTCTTCTATGACCCTTACCAGCAGAGACTGTGATTATCTTTAAAACAATCCTGCTGAGTCTTTAGAATCTCACAAACTGAGGGGATTCTGAGTAATATCTGAACTCACCAGGAATACATACTTACAGTTAGACACATATATGTATGTGCCTAAAGATGATGGGGAATTGCAGGTGACTTTTATAGATGTAATGATAGACATGTATGGAATACATATGTATTGTTATAAGAAAGTGGCACATACACATACAGCAAACAGCAATAGGAAGTAC